TTTAGACATGGATGTCCTATTTCTGTACGAGTTATTAGAGAAATATTGGTTAGTACCACCTAGTTTTAAAGGAATTCTTGGTATTTCCGATATAAAATTTTTTAACTGTTGGATTTTCTATAGTTTAAATAGTGCTTAGGTAAAAAAGAGAGTCTGTTTGAGATTGGTTTTGCAGTGGATATTCATTGGAATTTCTAAAATTACACTTGTTGGTATTATCTGCGTTTGTTGCTTTGGAATAGCAATTATTATTTAGGTTTTTGTATTGATTTAAAATTTAATATTAAGTTTTTTAATAATTTTTTTCAAGATAATAATTGAACAGTGTACAATTGATAAACACCTAAGGAATGATATCCGTATATTATTCTCATAAATGTGACATATTTACAACTAAAATTATAAAGTTACTAAATTGTGTAAAATTTAGAAGGTAATTCTTGGCAGTCCTTAGATTCAATCTGTAATTTCAGAGTCCGCCTTATTTGTCGTCATACTAAGAGTATCATCAGATATATATTTTTTAATTTATTGTCTTTCTAAAGCTATTACCAAATTTCTCAATATATGTTCCGGAATTTTAATATACAATAATTAATGACAATATATATATATATATATATATATATATATATATATATATATATATATATATATAGTTCCGTATCATCCAACACACCATTTTTGCAAAAAATTATCATCCTGTGATTTGTATTTGCGAAGATATTTAAAAATTAAAACTACGTAATAATTGCATTAGAATCTATTTTTAGCCATGTAAGTTTTTCGAAATTCTCAGAACTAAAAAGTAAAAAACGAACGGGAATAATTATTATTTCTGTTAGTCTACTTTTTAATTCTGCTGATAATTTTGAAACGCTACATGTATTTTTAAATTTTCTATTCTCTTGAACTTATTTAACTTTATATTATTCATTCATTATTGCAGATTCTAAAAACGAAACTTGATATCTATTCTTTTTACTTTACAAAACAAATTTCAAGCAAAATATCTTGAATTAATCCAAGTCGGGCGGGAGCAAAGGTCACCGTATCACCCCGAAACTACGATACGATAATTTATCTATATTATGGAAAATTAATTTTTATTCAATCTTTAAAAAATAAACTTCATTGTTTTGTTGTTTTGTAACATGAAAAAGTGAATTTATTCTTTTTAAAATTTTAGAAAAGTCACAAACGAAAAGGGATTTAGGGGAAGGACGGTCTTCTTCTGTCTTAACTAAAATAATTTTAATGCAAACAATTGACTTCAAATGGTACGAAACAATATTCTGAACTCAATTAAACAACACATTCATTGTACCTTCTTACTTTCAAAAAAAAAATAATACCTCTTTGTTTCTATGGAAATACTAACTAGTCCCCTATATTTACAATTCGTGGTCTGTAGGGGGGGGAATAAAACAACAATTCTAAAATTGTTTTTAATGATATTTACAATATGCATGTAAAAAGATATTTACAAGAAACTAAAGAAAATAAGATTAGTAATAAAACCCCCACAGTTTCTAAATTTGACAAAACATCACTTCACTGGGTAACATGAAAAAATAAATAATATTAAATTAAGTTTTATTAAAAGTAGAATCTATATACAAAGCTTCTTTTTTTGGAAAAATTTGTTTTAAATAAAATATAGTTAAATTCGTAAAAAATAAAATATTCAACATATTGATTAATTTGTCTGTGGGAATTCATATCTGTCTCTCATAATTTTTATTTAAATAAGTTTTTTTCAAAACCAAATAAGAATTGAATGTGGAATTTTTGTTTTTCTAATTTAGTTTTTGTTTTTAAATTGGACTTTTTTCTTCAATGTTTGAAACAGACAAATTTATATATATATATATATATATATATATATATATATATATATATATATATATATATATATATAAAAAGGATATAGAGGAATGTTGTGTAAATATCAAATATATACATATATATATACACATACACAGGATATATATATATATATATATCCAGCATATATGTATATATATATATATATATACATACACACAAATATATATATATATATATTGGCAGGTACACACACATATTATATTATTCTGTTTACATACACATAAATACTCTAGATATACATACCCATATCTTCTTCCCTCATACACTAATATATATATATATATATAGAAACATTTATATATTATTTACAAGATATCTGTCTGAGTGAATGATATTTTCTGAGTTTAATACATATATATATACATACACATATATATATGAATCTCTCATACAGACACATACAATATATATATAAAAATAGAAATATACATAATATATATATAAACATATATATAGCGAATGGATATATATATTCCACACATATAACCTATATGGAAATTTACAAAACATATATATATATATAAATACACATATATGAATGTTTATGTCAATGTCGAGACTATTTTAAAATACTGTAGTAGCGAACAAAAGAAATATGTATTTAAACATATATTTATTTGTACACATGATATATGAAGTTGAGTATGGAGAAACGTAGTCCTTATTTTGATTGCCCGAAAAAATATTTGGATGGGATATAAACACCATATATTACTTCATATATATGTATATAAAAAGAATTTGAACAATATATAATGGTGGATAGATGAAATTCTGTACACACGTTTAACGATATATATATGGGTTGGTTTATCATATGCATCGAAGATATAAATTTTTTTTTATTTTTTTTTATATATTTTATTATATGAATCTTGAGAACATGGTAGATATATATATATTATACATACACCACATACATGTTTATATATATAAGAAAAGCATAGCATATATATAGTGTGATACAAAAAGTAATGAATGAATACATATTTAAAATATATGACATATACATAGGTTTTTATATAAATACATACACACATATATATATTAACACACATGAAAGAGTTCTTATATTGGTCGTACATTGGAGAATATACAAGAAGACATATAACTTCCAAATCATTCAAATAATATAATATACAAAAGATACATATATATATACAATTACAATAGATATATAAACAATAAATATACATATACACATATCGGTATATACACCATACACATATATATATAAATATATATATAAAATACAATATATATATATATATAATATATAAATATATATATATATATGCTATACATATATATAAGTAAATAGAGATAGAGAAAGAGGACAATAAATTTAAAAGAAGTGGATTCCTGGAAATCCATGCCCAATTCCAGGACGTGGTAAAACCACACTTATAAAGGCTCAAACACTAATATTGTTTGGTTATAAGGGAATTACATTGAGATGCCATTTGGTCAATTTATCAGATCTACAAATTCAAAAAAGAAATCGGTAAACGCCAAAATATAGAAACTAAATAAAATATTATATAAATATAAATAAATATAAATAAATTTATATAAAGTAAATATTATATAAATTATAAATATTATATTTTTCGATTTCTGTATCAATTTATAGGTCTGATAATTGCATACATTCGAATATAATGAGGTATAAAAATGGGAATAACATTACTATTATATAATATATATATATAGGAAATATATATATATATATATATATATATATATATATTACAAACAAAAAATGTTGGTGACATTTTTTTTTTACAGATATTTACCAAAAATACACAAAAAATACCTAGATATATAAAATGTTTAATTTTGTTCATAAAATCTCCATTGGTTTCCACAAAAACAAAATGACTTACTCACCTGCAACTCTTCAAGATTGTCTGATTATTTAAGTAGGTGAATGCTACTATAATATTTGTCTTCAGTTAATCTTTCATCTTACAAGATGTTTGACGAGATCTCTAATCAATTACACATGCCACAGAAATAATCAGAGCCCCGGGTTGCAGTCGGGTTCTTTACAGGTAGTTAGATGAAGGGATTGATGTGGACCCTTAAATGGTCTGACAGCATTGTACTGGGTCCTTCTGGTATGTGCCATGGTGCAGAGTTTCTTGCCAGACATATGGGATCTCAGGCTCCCCTCTCGATCCAAGGCATGTTTAATCCTCAGGGGCATGAATAGGCCTCCGTGTTTGAGTCGAGGCGCTGATGGGGAAACGAAAACATTGATAAAGCCGCCCTCACTAGATATCACATCATCAAAACTCTTTATTTTGCTCTGCACTGTCCCTCAGATTGACAAACAAACATTTGAAATCTTCCAATTTAAGACGTTCAGGAAAATTTTCAAATGTCTGGCGCAGTGTATGCGTTGTTGTATTCTCCGGCTCAAATTGTGTACAAGTATATAAAAATTAAAATATAAAAATGATGACAATTTATCCATCGGCCTGGCGCGTGCGTTTTTTGTTTTGTTTGTGTGTCTTTAAACCTTTGGCGGTTGAAAGGTTGTGTTATTTGTTTGCAAGGTCAGACATCAAAATAGGGCCAACAATTCAAGCTAAAATGGATATGTAATTAAATAATGCAAGAGTTCCCGGGTTAAAAAAAAAAAAAAAAAAAAAAGAAAGAAAAAATAACGGCTCATAAGAGAGTTATAGAAGGACGGTGTAGGAAGATGTGGAGAAAGAATGGGAGAGAATAATAAAAATCAAAATGTGTTGAAACGCTTAAAATTACGCCGAACTAAGGAGAAACTGAGAATAATAAATAGACAAATGAGGTTCTTTTTTCCAAACCTCGAAACGCTAGGTCGATAGTGTACGAAATTAAAATTGTCTTGATCTACACCGACATTTAAAGTCTTCTCCCGCTTATGAATTAACTCTTGCTTATATTGTTAACGCCCCAAAAGTCCATCCAGTAATTACAAAACGTATGCATAATTGAAATCGTGTTGACTGAACTGGTCAGTTGGGTACGGCGCCAATCACAACTGAACAAAGACGTTCAAATTTCGACCAGATGAGCGAGAAAAATCACCGAAGGGAAAAGAACTGCCTTTTATTTTCCTTTAGTTTTCTACACACCACATTTCTTTTCAAATACACTAAACATCTTTCATTCTTACTTCGTTATCTTTCCTTCCTTAGTTTTCTTTTTTTTTTTTCTTCCTAAATATCATTCATTCATGAATATTTCTCTTTCTTTTTATAAAATGTTTTTCATTCTTACATCTTTCTTTATCTTTCTTCCATAGTTTTTCTTTTCTTTTTTCTTCCTCAAATGTCATTCATTCAACATATTTTCTCTTTCTTTTTATAAAATGTTTTCATTCTTACATCTTTCTTTATCTTTTTGAGGAAATTTTTTTTTCTTTTTTCTTCCTTGTCATTCATTCATATATTTTCTTTCTTTTATAAATGTTTTTCATTCTTACATCTTTCTTTATCTTTCTTCCTTATTAGTTTTTTCTTTTCTTTTTTTCTTCCTCAAATGTCATTCATTCATTTTTCTTTCTTTTTTTTTAAATTTTTTCATTGTTACATCTTTCTTTTCGATTCCTTATTTTTTTCTTTTTTTTTTCTTTCAATTCATTCATTTTTTTCTTTTCTTTTTTATAAAATGTCATTCTTTCTTTATTCATTTTAAATGTTTTTCATTCTTTCTTTGTTTTCTATTTTTTTTTTTTTTCTTCCTCAAATGTCATTCATTCATTCATATTTTCTCTTTCTTTTTATAAATGTTTTTCATTCTTACATCTTTCTTTATCTTTCTTCCTTCAGTTTTTTCTTTCTTTTTTTAAAATGTCATTCATTCATTCATATTTTTCTCTTTCTTTTTATAAAATGTTTTCATTCTTACATCTTTCTTTTATCTTTCTTCCTTGTTTTTTTCTTTTCTTTTTTCTTTCCTCAATGTCATTCATTCATTCATATTTTCTTTCTTTTTATAAATGTTTTTCATTCTTACATCTTTCTTTTTTTCTTCCTTATTAGTTTTTTCTTTTCTTTTTCTTCCTCAAATGTCATTCATTCATTCATATTTTTCTTTCTTTTTATAAAATGTTTTCATTCTTACATCTTTCTTTATCTTTTTCTTTTTCTTTTTTTTTTTCTTTCTTTTTCTTCCTCAAATGTCATTCATTCATATTTTTTTTCTTTTTTATAAAATTTTTTCATAAAATCTTTTTAGTTTTTCTTATTGTTTTTTTTTTCTTTTTCTTCTTTCAAATGTCATTCTTCATTCATATTTTTCTTTTTTTTTTATAAAATGTTTTTTCTTCCATCTTTCTTTTTCTTTTCTTCCTTATTAGTTTTTTTTTTTTTCTTCCTCAAATGTCATTCATTCATTCATATTTTCTCTTTCTTTTTATAAAATGTTTTTCATTCTTACATCTTTCTTTATCTTTCTTCCTTATTAGTTTTTCTTTTCTTTTTTTCTTCCTCAAATGTCATTCATTCATTCATATTTTCTTTCTTTTTATAAAATGTTTTTCATTCTTACATCTTTCTTTATCTTTCTTCTTTATTAGTTTTCTTTTCTTTTTTTCTTCCTCAAATGTCATTCATTCATTCATATTTTCTTTCTTTTTATAAAATGTTTTTCATTCTTACATCTTTCTTTATCTTTCTTCCTTATTAGTTTTTCTTTTCTTTTTTTTCTTCCTCAAATGTCATTCATTCATATTTTCTTTCTTTTTATAAAATGTTTTTCATTCTTACATCTTTCTTTATCTTTCTTCCTTATTAGTTTTTCTTTTCTTTTTTTCTTCCTCAAATGTCATTCATTCATTCATATTTTCTCTTTCTTTTTATAAAATGTTTTTCATTCTTACATCTTTCTTTTATCTTTCTTCCTTATTAGTTTTTTTTTTTCTTTTTTTCTTCCTCAAATGTCATTCATTCATTTTTCTTTTTTTTTTATAAAATGTTTTTCATTCTTACATCTTTCTTTATCTTTCTTCCTTATTAGTTTTTCTTTTCTTTTTTTTCTTCCTCAAATGTCATTCATTCATTCATATTTTCTCTTTCTTTTTATAAAATGTTTTTCATTCTTACATCTTTCTTTATCTTTCTTCCTTATTAGTTTTTCTTTTCTTTTTTTTCTTCCTCAAATGTCATTCATTCATTCATATTTTCTTTCTTTTTATAAAATGTTTTTTTCATTATCATCTTTCTTTATCTTTCTTCCTTATTTTTTTCTTTTCTTTTTTTCTTCCATAAATGTCATTCATTCATCTATATTTTCTTTCTTTTCATAAAATGTTTTTCATTCTTACACTTTTATCTTTCTTCCTTTTAGTTTTCTTTTCTTTTTTTCTTTCAAATGTCATTCATTATTCATATTTTTCTCTTTTTTTTTTCTTTTTTCTTCTTTCTTTATCTTGTCTTCCTATTAGTTTTTCTTTTCTTTTTCTTCCTCCAAATGTCATTTTTCTTTTATTTTCTTTTATAAAATGTTTTCATTCTTACATCTTTCTTTATCTTTCTTCCATATTAGTTTTCTTTTCTTTTTTTCTTCCTCAAATGTCATTCATTCATTCATATTTTCTCTTTCTTTTTATAAAATGTTTTTCATTCTTACATCTTTCTTTATCTTTCTTCCTTATTAGTTTTTCTTTTCTTTTTTTTCTTCCTCAAATGTCATTCATTCATTCATATTTTCTTTCTTTTTATAAAATGTTTTTCATTCTTACATCTTTCTTTATCTTTCTTCCTTATTAGTTTTTCTTTTCTTTTTTTCTTCCTCAAATGTCATTCATTCATTCATATTTTCTTTCTTTTTATAAAATGTTTTTCATTCTTACATCTTTCTTTATCTTTTCTTCCTTATTAGTTTTCTTTTCTTTTTTCTTCCTCAAATGTCATTCCATTCATTCATATTTTTCTTTTTTTAAAAATGTTTTTCATTCTTACATCTTTCTTTATCTTTCTTCCTTATTAGATTTTTCTTTTCTTTTTTCTTCCTCAAATGTCATTCATTCATTCATATTTTTCTCTTTCTTTTTTAAATGTTTTTCATTCTTACATCTTTCTTTATCTTTCTTCCTTATTAGTTTTCTTTCTTTTTTTTTTTTTCTTCCTCAAATCATTCATTCATTCATATTTTCTTTTTTTTTTATAAAAATGTTTTTCATTCTTACATCTTTCTTTATCTTTCTTCCATATTAGTTTTTTCCTTTTTTTTCTTCCTCAAATGTCATTCATTCATATTTTCTTTCTTTTTTAAAATGTTTTTTCATTTCTTACATCTTTCTTTATCTTTCTTCCTTATTAGTTTTTCTTTTCTTTTTTTTCTTCCTCAAATGTCATTCATTTATTTTCTTTCTTTTTATAAAAATTTTTCATTCTTACATCTTTCTTTATCTTTCTTCCTTATTAGTTTTTCTTTTCTTTTTCTTTCCTCAAATGTCATTCATTCATTTCATATTTTCTTTCTTTTTATAAATATTTTCATTCTTACATCTTTCTTTATCTTTCTTCCATATTAGTTTTTTCTTTCTTTTTTTTTCTTCCTAAAATGTCATTCATTCATTCATATTTTCTTTTTTTTTATAAATGTTTTTCATTCATACATCTTTCTTTTATCTTTTTTCTTCCTTATTAGTTTTCTTTTTTCTTTTCTTCCTCAAATGTCATTCATTCATTCATATTTTCTCTTTCTTTTTATAAAATATTTTCATTCATACATCTTTTCTTTTATCTTTCTTCCTTATTGTTTTCTTTTCTTTTTTTCTTCCTCAAATGTCATTCATTCATATTTTCTTTTCTTTTTATAAAATGTTTTTCATTTTACATCTTTTTTTTATCTTTCTTCCCTTATTAGTTTTTTCTTTTTCTTTTTTTCTTCCTCAAATGTCATTCATTCATATTTTCTTTCTTTTATAAAATGTTTTTCATTCTACATCTTTCTTATCTTTCTTCCTTTATTAGTTTTTTCTTTTCTTTTTCTTCCTCAAATGTCATTCATTCGTTATTTTTCTTTCTTTTTTATAAAATATTTTTCATTCTTACATCTTTCTTTTATCTTTCTTCCTTAATAGTTTTTTCTTTTCTTTTTTTTCTTCCTCAAATGTCATTCATTCATTCATATTTTTTTCTATTTTTATAAAATGTTTTTCATTCTTACATCTTTCTTTATCTTTCTTCCTTATTAGTTTTTCTTTTCTTTTTTTTCTTCCTCAAATGTCATTCATTCATATTTTCTTTCTTTTTATAAAATGTTTTTCATTCTTACATCTTTCTTTATCTTTCTTCCATATTAGTTTTTCTTTTCTTTTTTTCTTCCTCAAATGTCATTCATTCATTCATATTTTCTTTCTTTTTATAAAATGTTTTTCATTCTTACATCTTTCTTTATCTTTCTTCCTTATTAGTTTTTCTTTTCTTTTTTTTCTTCCTCAAATGTCATTCATTCATATTTTCTTTTTTTTTTTAAAATGTTTTTTCATTGCATCTTTCTTTATCTTTCTTCCATATTAGTTTTTTCTTTTCTTTTTTTCTTCCTCAAATGTCATTCATTCATTTCATTTTTTTTCTTTTTTTTAAAATGTTTTTCATTCTTACATCTTTCTTATCTTTCTTCTTAGTTTTTTTTTCTTTTTCTTTCTCAAATGTCATTCATTCATTCATATTTTCTTTCTTTTTATAAATGTTTTCATTCTTACATCTTTCTTTATCTTTCTTCTTTATTAGTTTTTTTTTTTTTTTCTTCCTCAAATCATTCATTTCATTCTTATTTTTTTTCTTTTATAAAATGTTTTTCTTGTGGTTTCTTTTCTTTTTCTTCCTTATTCAGTTTTCTTTTCTTTTTTCTTCCTCATCTTTCTTTTTCATTCATTTCATATTTTCTTTCTTTTTTATAAATGTTTTTCATTTTACATCTTTCTTTATCTTTCTTCCTTATTTTTTTTTCTTTTCTTTCTTTTTTCTTCCTCAAATGTCATTCATTCATTCATATTTTCTTTTCTTTTTTATAAATGTTTTTCATTCTTACATCTGCTTTATCTTTCTTCCTTATTAGTTTTTTCTTTTTTTTTTCTTCCTCAAATGTCATTCATTCATTCATATTCTCTTTTCTTTTTTATAAATGTTTTCATTCTTACATCTTTCTTTATCTTCTTTATTAGTTTTCTTTTCTTTTTTTCTTCCTCAAATGTCATTCATTCATTCATATTTTCTTTTTTTTTATAAATGTTTTTCATTCTTACATCTTTCTTTATCTTTCTTCCTTATTAGTTTTTTCTTTTTTTTTCTTCCTCAAATGTCATTCATTCATATTTTCTTTCTTTTTATAAAATGTTTTTCATTCTTACATCTTTCTTTATCTTTCTTCCTTATTAGTTTTCTTTTCTTTTTTTCTTCCTCAAATGTCATTCATTCATTCATATTTTCTTTCTTTTTATAAAATGTTTTTCATTCTTACATTTTCAGTTTTCTTTTCTTTTTTCCTCAAATTATTTTTTCATTCATTTTTTTTTCTTTTTATAAATATTTATTTTCATCTTTTTCTTTCTTTCATATTTTTTTTCCTTATGTTTTTATTTTTCTTTTCTTTTTTTTTTTCTTTCTTTCTTTTAGTAGTTTTCTTTTTTTTTTTTCTTTATAAAATTCATTTTCATTTTTCTCTTTCTTTTTTTATAAAATGTTTTTCATTCTTACATCTTTCTTTATCTTTCTTCCTTATTAGTTTTTCTTTTCTTTTTTTTCTTCCTCAAATGTCATTCATTCATTCATATTTTCTCATTCTTTTTATAAAATGTTTTTCATTCTTACATCTTTCTTTATCTTTCTTCCTTATTAGTTTTCCTTTTTTTTTTCTTCCTCAAATGTCATTCATTTTTCATATTTTCTTTTTTTTTTATAAAATGTTTTTCATTCTTACATCTTTCTTTATCTTTCTTCCATATTAGTTTTTCTTTTCTTTTTTCTTCCTCAAATGTCATTCATTCATTCATATTTTCTTTTTTTTTATAAATGTTTTCATTTTACATCTTTCTTTTCTTCTTCCTTATTAGTTTTTCTTTTCTTTTTTTTCTTCCTCAAATGTCATTCATTCATTCATATTTTCTCTTTTTTTTATAAAATGTTTTTTCATCTTACATCTTTTTTTATCTTTCTTCCTTATTAGTTTTTTCTTTTCTTTTTTCTTCCTCAAATGTCATTCATTCATTCATATTTTTTCTTTCTTTTTTAAAATATTTTTCATTCTTACACTTTTATCTTTCTTATTAGTTCTTTCTTCTTTTCTTTTTTTTTTCTTCCTCAAATGTCATTCATTCATTCATATTTTCTCTTTCTTTTTATAAAATATTTTTTATTTACATCTTTCTTATCTTTCTTCATATTAGTTTTCTTTTCTTTTTCTTTTTTTTTTTTTAAATTCATTTTTTCTTTCATATTTTTTATAAAATGTTTTCATTCTTACATCTTTCTTTTATCTTTTCTTCCTTATTTTTTTTTCTTTTTTTTTTCTTCCTCAAATGTCATTTCATTCTTTTTTATAAAATATTTTCATTCTTACATCTTTCTTTATCTTTTCTTCCATATTAGTTTTTTTTCTTTTTTCTTGCTCAAATGTCATTCATTCATTCATATTTTCTCTTTCTTTTTTATAAATGTTTTCATTCTTACATCTTTTCTTCATCTTTCTTCCTTATTAGTTTTTTCTTTTCTTTTCTTCCTCAAATGTCATTCATTCATTCTCTTTCTTTCTATTAATTATCTTTCTTTATCACCCTTCCTTAGTTTTTAATTTCTCTTTTTTTCTTCCTCACGTGTCATTCATTGATTCTTTCTTACTTTCTCTTTCTTTTTATGAAATGTTTTTCATTCTTACATCTTTCTTTATTTTCCTTCCTTATTAATTTTTCCTTCTCACTTGCCATTCATTCATTGTTTCATACCTTATCTTTCTATCAGATGCTTTTTATTCTTACATCTTTCTTTAACTTATTTCCTTATTAGATTGTTTTTCTTTTTTCTTCCTCACATGTCATTCATTCATTCTTTCTCTTTCTTTCTACTAAATATCTTTCATTCTTATATCTTTCTTTATTTTCCTTCCTGAATAGTTTTTTTCCGCTTTTTCTTCCTTGCATGTCATTCATTTTTTTTTCTTTCATTCATGTCTCTTTGTACCATTTTTTTACGATTTTTCTTTTTCTTTATTTTTCGTGACTTTCCTTCTTTTTGCTTTCATATTTCTATCTTTGTTTTATACCGATTGCTTTGATTTTCGCCATGTTCTTTCCTTTAATTCTATTCGGATTCTTTTTTCTCCTTTATATTTTTCTTTATTTCTTTTCATAGCTTTCATTTTCTTCATTCGTCTTTACATATCTGCTTTCTTTCTTTCTTTTTATTATTTTCTTCCTCTTCTATCTTTCATTCTTTTTACCATTTTCTTCTTCCTTTTCTATCTTTCATTCTTTTTCTTTCTTTCAATTTTCTTCTCCTTCTTTCTCTACTTTTTTCTTTATTTCTTATACATTTTCATTTTCTTCATTTATCTATCTATATCGCTCTCACTCTCTCTATATATATATGTATATATATGTCTTTTTGATTTCTAATTTTATTGCTTTTTTGTTCTTTTCGCATGTAACCTTGTGCCAGGCTAAATTAATCTCTGTGCATATCTTGTAGACCATTCATTGTAACTTGAATTCAACACGTACTGAATGCCTAAAACTTGTTGCTATCTACTTGAATAAAAGCAGAGAGCTGGGTTCGAATTCCAGTGGAGTCCATTACATTCACTTACGTGGTAATACCCTTGGGAAAAGTATGAATCCTCTTCTTCCCCTAGCTATGAGTAGGGAAGACTGAATTCTATAGCCTTGGATGGCAAGTGGTCTACCGCAGAAAGAAATGGCAACCTACTGCGTGAAAAAATCTGCCTCGCCAGTCATGCATGGAACATAAATGACTGACAAGCAAATATGAATAAATATATTACTCCTACCACGTCAGCTCTCACTCTGTCGATTCACTTCTCCTGCCAAGTGTCTTAACAATGAACTACCGTGATTTACAATGTTAAAACAAAAATATTTAATGCTGGATGACCGAACGAATTGTTGTTGACCTGTGAACATCAAACAGAATTGTTTATTTTGTCATTTGTCTTCGTCATCAAGCAGTTTTTCGATAGAAGCAGACGACTGTTTCCCGCCATGTCTCTTCCTCCACCTTTCATTTACTTATTTATTTTGGGGTTTTTATTTAGTTGCAGAAGTGAATCAATAAAAATGGTGGTCGATGGGGAAGCGTAGAGAAGTTTAAGGAGATGGACAATAAAGGTTGTGAGAAAGTTCCGAACGAAAAGTGTCGAGTGTTTATCATCGGAATGGTGATTCGGGACTTTTCGGAAGCATTCGGAAGGTTGGGGCGGTAGTAAACTTTTAGGTTCACCAGGGATATTTCTTTTTGGGGGTCGGTCGGTCGGTTGAGTTTCTTTCTACTTCATCTTTTAAGGCGAGTCGTTTCATGGACATTTTATTTGAAAATAAAGTTTGGCAGTGCTTTGCCAACATCGAAGTTTAAAAATCTGACATAAAAAGAGAATTTTGTCGTCTCGCAAACATATTGCATGAACCCCATCCATGGCTTATATGATTTATGCAAAATCTATGTTTCCTGACAATCAAGAGAAGCGGGCTCTCACCGTGGAAGAATAGTTGGCAAGCTAATATTGTAGATGATTGTTACGGACTTCTTTTTCTGCAGTGTCTCTTCAGGGCGTAAGTGATCATGGCTTTCCACAACTTCCTATCCTTTGTAGCTGTTAGCAATATCTGTCTTTTGACTGTTTTCCCATCCTCTATTCTACCACTTATACAAGCTCATTAGGTAGGTAAATAGATAACTAACTGTTACCGTATATCGCTCTCGATTTTGATGAGTCCTATGCGTGTTAAATTTTCTCAGCTTTCTTTCCTCATCGTGTGTTTCAGAAATTTATACTCTCTCTTTTAGATTGGAAGTAAAGTGCTCGTTTTGTTTCATTGCCCTTCTTGTTTCTTTGCGCTTAAAACTGCTTCTTTGCTTACATGTTTCATGTTATTCTCAGCATCCTACTGTAGAGCTACATACCATTGCTTCAAGTCTTCTCTCCATTTGTGACGAAATGTTTTTTTTCAAAAATGTATTGTTAGTAATATTTTTTTTCAAAAATGTATTGCTGGTAATATTGTTCTTTCAAAAATCTATTGTTGTTAATAATGTATTTCTGGTAATAATTTTTTCCTCAAAAATACACAGCTGATAATAATTTTCTACAAAAATATACTGCTGGTATTAAAACCCTTTTTTAACACTTTCATAATGATTTTACCACAGTTTGGGAGTTAATTATTTGCCCATAGCTGGGACCCTAACAGATGCTACCACCCCCGGGTCAGAGTGAACCTGTGAAAATCAGCAGTTTACACTTATAAAAAAAAATTGCTTTACAATAAGGCGTAGGGATTTCAAAAAGCGATATAGCTGTAAAAGAAGTAAATAGGCCCAAATTTCTGATTACGCCAACGAAGTACTCAGCAGTGAACATTATGGCAGTAATGGCGGACGAATGACCAACAAGAAGTTGGATTTTTTCCTTGACGATAACTCCAAAATGGTAGGTTTCTTCAACAAGTACATTTACACGGAATTATGACGATTTGGAAAAATTTTAAGAGATATTTAGCGCGCGGGCGTTAAAAAGCAAATTTACCGTTAAATTTAATATTTCCAGTGAGCAAAATACTTTGTTGCATTTCAAAAAACTATTTTAAATTGACTGGAAGAGTTTCCATTTTGAAATCTCTAAAATCGCTGATTTTAGCGCCATTTTAGACACCTGACATCACAATATAATTCTCGTTATTAGAAAAAGATCTTCCAAAATAAACTGAAACTTTATTTGAGGAATATTAGCTGATTTAAAGTTTACTTAATCTGATTGGAAACAAATTTACGTATGTTTAGTTTAAAATATCACAGAAATACATTTTTTAACATGGTAGTAGGTATTTATTTAAGGTGTTGATAGTTTATATAATTTTTTCCAGTGGACATATTTGTAAAAATACCCGAAGAATATAACGTGACCGCCTTTCTTATGATTTTAACTACCCGTTAATCTTTAAAATTTAATAAAATATTCTCCCTAATCTAATATTTTATGTTTTTTTAGCTTTGCCTTTACCTTTAACTTTGGCTTTACTAAAGTTATCGCTCTTATTTTCTGATAATCTTGTGTAAGGACATCCGTATTTACAAAAATCGGCACGTTTATATTAAAAAAAAAAAAAAAAACATTAAAATTAATTTTAAGATATTTGGGATCGCTGGATTGTAGGAATCTTTTTCATTTATGATTACTAAATATAGTTTTGACTCAACAGCACTATCACCTAACCGGTACAAATTAATACAGAATTTTAAAAGATTTAAAGCGTTATAAATTATTCTAATTAAAAATTAAAATAAATGAAAACCATTCCTTTAAAAATTCATTATTCGTCGAAATTTTTTTCTTAAGACAAGTGTCCATAGTACATCTTATTCCTAAAAGCAATAAAAGGCTTTTCTAATTAAATAATATATTAGTTTTATTGCATTTTTTATTTTACGATTCAGAGCAGATTTTCGTTAACTGTGAGTTAAAAAGGATTAATGAATTAAATCCTCCTTTTTGTGTATTATCAATATAAACATTAAGCAGGAGAAAAAAATTAATTTCTCAAAATTTCATAGAAGTAAATAAGTGTGTGTATGGGGGGGTAACATGTAAAAATGTCTTTACCACGAATTTCTAGAAAAAAAAAGAAAAATTTCTAAAATAATTTCATTCATTTGTGAATAAATCCTGAAACTTAACATCACGAATATTTATATGAAAAATTAATATTCAGAAATCTGAAAGTTAGAATTTATTAAATTCAGAGCTGATTGGTTAATAAATATTTTCTCAATTTTTAAATATCTATTTTACGGAGGGAAAATATTGCTGATCATTTTCTGAAGTGATCATACAAATTTTGTAGCAGACGACAAACATATTTGTCTGAAATTTTCATAGGTCTCAGCGCGCCTACAATTAACGTCGCTGATTCGTTAATATATGCAGAACTTAAAAAATGCACAAAATGAGTTAATTTTGAGTTTCAGCAATATTACTTAAATCTATTACCTTTAGATTGTTCCTATGAATTTAATTGCTTATTGCCGTTTAGTAACACAGATTTCTGATGAAAGCAAATCATCCTGCAACTCTTGACGAGTAATCATTGAATTTTGTTTAATTTAACACATTAATTTTCTCGAAAATCTTGTAGAAATCTTCCGTAAAGAACCTCTTCTTTGGTTTTCAACAGTTTTGAGTTTTTATACCTTGCAATGAACGAACTAATTGTAGTAGATGGAATATTCGGGTTGTCTGAGATTTTCCTGTAACTTTTACCTTCTTCCCGGAGCTTAACGAACAGTTGTTTTGCGAATTTGTAAATTCTTTATCTCTTGCCATGATGAAAACCATCTTGCACGAATATTAATTACACAATGTTCTGTTTGTATTTTTTAGGCTAAAAATAACTACTAATAACATTATTGAAACATTCTAGAATATTCCACTTGAATAATCTAGGAGAATTAAAGCAATTTAAAAGTTTTTTTAAGGGAAACAGATAGTCATCAAATTTATAACTGTGGTGTAAACATAATACTGCTCGATATGGTTAGACAGAGCAAAGATATATATAAATTATTACATATACGTGTATCTACGTATGGTGTGCGTAGTTATACATATATGCATAAGAAAATATATATATATATATATATATATATATATATATATATATATATATATAATATATAATATAATATATATATATATATATATATATATATTATTGTTGTAGTAGGATCCACCTAATTTGCATAATTGGAGTACCGACCATATAAATATGGTTGGTACCGGAAGAGAGGGAGGAATCAAGAGATTCAACCAGAGACTCTACCCGACTGCGACTCAGGAACGGTCTTACCAGGAATATACAAAAGACTATATGTAAATATTGT